TTATCACACCAAGGTTTAATTCTGGGGGGAGACAAACATTCAGTCCATTGTACATACTTTACTCCTGTCTAAATGCATTCGTCAGTAACTCCAGTACAATGTTTAACAGCAGGGGAATTAGTGGCTAGGCTTTTCTTTTCCTGACTTTTGTAGGACAGTCTCTAGTGTTTCCTTATTAAGTAAGATACCAGTTTTTTGATGGATAGATATATAGGTAGGTAGGTAGATAAAACCATGTTAAAAACATCTCCATCAATTTCTGTTTTATTGAGTGATTCAAAAATGAATGGATATTGAATTTTGTCAAGTGCCTTTCTTGGGTCTATGAAGATGGGGATATGATTTATATTTCTCCTTTACTTGATTATAATGATGAACTATATTGACAGTTTCCTAATGTCGAAACACCCATGTATTCCTTGAGTTAACCCTACTTACTCATACTAATCATATGCTTTAATGTGTTGTTGGAGTCTAATGATTGATAATACATAATTTATATTAAAATTCTGCAGCAGCATGTATAAATGAGATGAGTCTGTATTTTTTGTGGTGAAATCTTTGTCAGGTTTTTGTACCATGTTATAATTGTTTCATAAAAGCAGAACTGGTAGAACTCTCCTATGAAATCTTCTGTTCCTAGTGCTTTTCGATCTCATTACCTACTATTTTTATTTCTTCAGTGGAAAATGATCTGTTTAGACTCTTTGTCTCCACTGGGGTTATTTTTGGTAAGTTGCAGTTTTCTAAAAAAACTATTCATTTTATATTGATTTCTTGAACTTTGTATCTTCCCTTCAAGAGATAAATACACTCATGTATTGTTTCTTTTGTTGATTTCTTTGGAATTTTAGCTCCAGCTTGTTTTAGATGTATTTTTATTTATGTTATTCTTACTTTTTAAGACAGCAATATATTTAAAAAATGATTTGACTATATTTATTTCCCAATATCTTCAATTATCCCCCTGGGTTTAGCTCTATTCTTGTTTGAGTACTTTCCCTTAGAGGGGTTTGAAGTCAGACTTTTGCAAACCTCATGAGGTCTGTTAAGTTCAAGGATTATTTTCTCATCAGATTTAAATGACAGATTGGCAAATATGAAATTTTACAATCACAGACATTTTCTTTCTACAGCTTAGAAGTAATAATATATTGTCTTCTTGCTTCTCTTCAGTGTAATTCTTATTTCTTTTAAAATATATTTGCTCTTTCATTTTGGAAGCTTTTAGAATTTTTTTTGGATGTTATTACATTTTACTAAAATATGTCTAGGTATAGGATTTTATCTATTATTTTGTGCTCTATAAGGACCTCTTTTCAATTTTCATCTTTCTTTAAATCGGGCAAATTTATTTTCCTTATTTTATCATTTTATATTTCTTCCTCTGTATTTTAAAACATACCATCGAGTAATTCTATTATCTATATATTTGTGCTTCTATTTCTACTCTCCAGAAGTCTTTTTCTTTATATGTCCCATCATTATCTTTTCCTGCTGCCTTTTGGGAAAGTTCTTCAACCTGATAGTTCAGCTCACTAATTAATTTTACAAATTGGTGTTCTATAGTCACCTATCATATTTTTCACACCTTGTATTTCACCTTGTTAACTTTTCTTTCTTCTTGGTACTACATAACACTACCAATATCCTCCATTCTCTATTCAAGGGTATTTGTTATGCTTATTTGGATTGTTATGCTTATTTGGATTATCTATTCCAACAGTTTTTTTCTTCATAAAGTTATTGTTCAGTTTATTATCTTTATTTTATAATTTGTATCCCTCAGCTCTCTGAAGTCATGCTTCCCTGAGGATAACAGCCATGAAGGGGCTTTTAAACATTCTTGACCTTATTCTACAGTAAGAAATATTTTCTCTCTCTATATGACCCATTTGATATATATTTACAAAATGATATTAGTAAACATATTTTATACATATTACAATAATATTTACTTCATGAAGAGCAATGCACTCTGATACTTCTGGTCAACTTGATTTTATTGAAAAATTCTAGTTATTAGTCAGTATATTGATTTAATCATCCGCTAATAGGTCAACACCTACAGTTTGAAAACTCTGTGATGTGGGAGGGCAGGACTGAAAGTCAGGCAATGGGTAAGAAGGAGGGATAAGAGGAGTAAGCCCTAGAGTCCCAGGTACCACAGGATCTCTCAGATTAATTTAGTTTGCTCCACTCCATTGGGCAATAGCTCTGTGTTAGCGTTCACTTCTAAACTCTTAGGTGGGAGCAGTGCTATGAGGTGGCAGTCCCTTTGGTTATATTACACATTTCCTTCCCTGGTGTTTGGTAGAGAAGAGGCTGGATCAATGAATATCCAAGGGTGACTGGTCAGTTTACACCTAAATCAGCTCCTCACCCTCAAAAGGCTGCTCTAAGAATAGCCACACCCATGGGCTTTGGTGGTTACTGTTGATTTCTGATGCAAATGAAGAAGCAGTGTTTATCCCAAGGCCATGAAGCATGAGACTAGAGCAGAACTTTAAAAATCTGCCCCAGGGCTTCCCTGGTGGCGCAGTGGTTGAGAGCATGGGACGCGGGTTCGTGCCCCGGTCCGGGAAGATCCCACATGCCGCAGAGCGGCTGGGCCCGTGAGCCATGGCCGCTGAGCCTGCGCGTCCGGAGCCTGTGCTCCGCAACGGGAGAGGCCACAACAGTGAGAGGCCCGTGTATTCAAAAAAAAAAAAAAAAAAAAATCTGCCCCAATCTATACTTCATTGCTGCTCTCAGGCTGCCTTCGTCCTAAGGGGATTCCCAGCTCCTCCCAGACCAATTCACAGCATCCTTCACTCTCCTGGGATTTCTCTTAGTTTTTATGTTATTTTCTCAGATCAATAGTTCTTTTCCTTCCACAGTTTCCCCGCGGCGGGGGGGGGGGGGCGGTTATGTTTGGGAAAACCCAGCAGCCCTGTGTTAGGTCTTTCCAGGAATCTTCAAAATTTAAGGCTCAAAAATCATCCTTTTTCAGTATGAAGTCCTCATTGATCAATCTGAGATGAGTCTATCTCAGAGTAGAAATCAGGGTGATGGAAAGATTTATAATTTTACTTTTGTCCAGACTGCCATTATTAATTCTCCTGGGCTGCCCGGGTAGCACTCGTTCTTACACGTTCCAGGTTAGGCTTCATTGATGCATTTCGACAGTGTCTGTACAACCAAAATCAAAGGAGAGATTTCAGTCACTAATGCACTGAGAATGCGATCAATCAGAATAGCTCACGGAGAACAATCTTTGCATTTGTCTGAATCATGTGGCTCATTAAACACAATTCAGGTCACTGCTTTTTCCAGGCATACATTATGGCCCATATGTGGGGATAAGCATACACTAGGGTTATCCAACAAGCACGAGGGGTGGGTCTCTGACTCTAGAGTATGACACGAAGAACTCCAAAAATTGCTTCTGTCTCCAAAAGGACCTCTGTACCTGCTCTGACCTTGTCTTCAGGTTAGTCTTAAATTCTCCATCCTGGTTTAAATTTTGTTATTTATAATTCCTTTGAGTTCAATGACAAAGACCAAAGAATTATTTCTGAACCCCAGTGATAAAAGCTTTTCCAGACAGTGGCACACATTATGGTATCAATGTTGGGTTGATGAGTGATCACCTCTCCATTCCAGTTAAACAGGTAACGTCTTCTACATCAGACTTGCTCATTTTTCTCCACAAAGATACCTTCCCCTCCCATATTCCCCTGATCTGTATTTGTCACTACTATCCATACCATTGCCTATAGTGATCCTCAGCTCTTTGTTTGCTCTCACCAACCCACAACCAACTTCTGTTAGTTTTAACTTATAAGTTTCTCTAGAATCCACACACTTCATCTCTGCTACCACCACCCTAGGCATCTCTCACTGGATATCTCCTACTGCCTTCTGACTAGTCTCCCAGTTTCAATCTTGTCTTTAATCCTTTTTCAACATGGCAGCCATCATCTTTTCACCATGTCAGTACTATGCTGAAACTCTACAAAGTTGCCCAATTGCCCATAGAGCGGTCTGCAAATGTTTTTCCCACTAAAACATAACCATGAAATACAATGCAATTTCATTAGTGTCAGCAACTAAGGCAGTTGATCTCATGATCTCATTGCATACAAACTGGATGGGGGAATATATAGGGCACCTATTTGAATCTCTGGAATGAGGCACATTTTTATGACATTGTAGGTATTCAGTAAACATTTCTTGAGTGCGTGGATGAATTAAACACAAGAAAGGTAAATTTGGTAGGAAGAAGCCCTTTGAAGATAAGTTCAGAGCATAGAATTCTGAGTGGAGTGCAGGAGAGAATACCGGGAACATATGAAAACTTAGTTTTGTGTGTGTGTGCATGTGTGTGTGCACTCACACACATGTGCACATATGAGATAAAATGTGCTTTTCATGTAGGAGGCCCTCTAGCAATAGTTGTGCAATAGGAAGGTTTTAAGGATAAAACTGTAGTACAATTTTGCTTGCGTCAACTAGATTCTTGGCTAGATTTTGAGACTCACTGTTAATAAGTAAAAAACTCAATCCCAATTCAAAGCATAATTTAATACAACGTTTCCCAATATATTATTTGTGGGATTCTTAAAAAAAAAGACTTCCATGGTGTACTAGTATTTTATAGCTGATGTAACAAATGTATTGGCTTAAAACAACAAAAATTTATTGGATAACAGTTCTAGAGGTCAGAAATCTGATGCAGTCTCCCTAAATTACAATCAAGGTGTGGGCAGGGCTCTTTTCTCGTTGGAGGCCCAAGAGGAGAATCCTTCCCTTTCCTTTTCCAGCATTTTTTTTTGCGGTATGTGGGCCTCTCACTGCTATGGCCTCTCCCGTTGCAGAACACAAGCTCTGGATGCGCAGGCTCAGCGGCCATGGCTCACGGGCCCAGCCGCTCTGTGGCATGTGGGATCCTTCCAGACCGGGGCATGAACCCATGTCCCCTGCATCGGCAGGCGGACTCTCAACCACTGTGCCACCAGGGAAGCCCCCTTTTCCAGCTTTTAGAGAGGCTACTCACATTCCTTGGCTCATGGCCCCTTCCATCTTCAAAGCCAGCAATGACCAGTTGAGTCTTTTTCATGCTGTATCACACTAACACTGATTCTCCTGCTTCCTCTTTCCTCTAAGGACCCTTATATTACCTCTAATTTATTATATTAATTTGATAACCAAACAGATAATTGATGAGCTTAAGTCCAATAAACATGCAGTAGAAAATAAGGATGCAACACTTTGGGTTTAACTGACCATTTACAATTATATCTTGACGATATTATCACTAATATCAGCACTTCCATGTTTCTGTTTTCACCTAAGGGGAATTAAAAAAAAAAAATTCCAAACACCAAAATTCCACAGGTAAATATGATGAAAATGTTCCCCAAACTATAGTTACTGAGTCTGAGCTCATACTGCTGGCTGCACAACAGGCCAGTAAACCAAGAGACGAGTTACTGGGGCAAGGACAGCACTTTACTTGGAAAGCCAGCAGTCCAAGAAGATGGTGGACTAGTGTCCCAAAGGACACTAACTCGTAGCGGAGTTAGAATTCCAGCTTCTTTTATATTAAAAGAGGCGAGGGTGTTGTTCGTTGCTGCAGACGTCTTGGTGTTGTAATCCTTTGTTCTTGCAGCTGTCCATGTAGGTCAGTTCTCAATGTTCCTGTAAATCTCCAACAATAATGCTATTCTCTGTTCTGCAACTTTTTATCTGTATATGAATGGAAAAGTGTTATATCTTTAAAGGTCAGAGCCTTGAGAACGGGATATCCTGTACATTTCAGGCTAAAGGCAACATTCTTGTAGCAAAAGCAACAGAATACAAAGGTTAAAGTAATAGAAACAGATCCAATATGGAGGCAGATTCGTTCTTCCTTATTACACTATGAGCTAGGACTATTCTCTAAAGCAAAATAGTGATTAGCATATGTATGTAAACCCAACTTTGGCTGATGCAGAGTACCTTAGGGGGTGTCAGTGCACAAAGTACAGAAAAATGTGTTGCATGAACGTTGAAAACTATTTAGCTGTGTTAAATTCTTAAAAATACATGGATCTATTTTCAGACTTTCTGTTATGTCCCATTATGCCATCCACTCTATGCTGATATGATATTTTAATTATTGTAAATATGTATTTTAATATCTGGTAAAGGTTATCAAATGGAGCTGAGCCAGGACTAATGGAATAGGTATTTCTTAGATTACCTAGATTGGTCCTCTGAAAAAGCCAAGAAACAAGGGTCCACCTAGTTAAGTTCCATCAGCACCCAGACTGGAATCCTGAAGTATCATTTTCCACCTAAAGAAACCAGAGTTTCATGGAAGTGACTGAATGCTGGATCTGATTTGGGAAATGTACAAGGGAAATTGGCACACCTTGTACCAGATGGGAAGGAACCTACCAAAGAGGCCCTGTTGAACGGACTCAACCGTTAACCTGAACTAGCTCCCACTGGACAAGGATGAGACAATCCATTAGAATGGAAACACCTGAAATATCAAATGGTTAAAAATCAGAATTAATTGTGGTTTATGTATGTTAGAGAACATCTCATTATTTTAAAACTAGTAAGATACAAATATTTACCCTGATTTTCCAGGATGAGCTGTACCTTACAGTAACTTGATGAAACCACGTTTCTCTTTATTTCTGTGTTCCAGCTAATAAATGAAGAAATGGTAGAATTAGAATATTACCAGTATTGAACTGGTAATGATAATCAATGGCTATTAACCTTAAAAAAATGAGGTAATAGATATTATATCTTATATATATATAATATAAAAAATATATATTTATATATAAATATCTATTATATATATATAATAGATATAATAGATATTATATCTTCTCACAGAAATACACAAAACCCATTATAAAATAATCATGTCACACACAAAAAAATTAAATCTGAATCTTTCTCTTCTATATCTCATCAAAGAGATGCAATCAACAAAATTCAAACTCGGGGGGAATTCTATATGACAAAAGAGCCTGTTTCTTTAACAACAACAACAAAAATACTGCGAAGATTAAAAACCCAGGATATTGAAGGAGAATCCATGAAGAGACAAGACATAAATGAAAGAACTGTGATGTGTGCACTTCATCAAGTAGGGAAATCAAGTGTGCACACATCAAGTAGGGAAAATTGAAAAAGGGAAAAGAAAATAACTGAGGACCCGTGAAGAATGATGAATACTTGAAGGTTTTAAGGCTATGTTTTACATTATTTTAAGGTGATCATGGTTGTCTTTAAAGTAAACACAAAAGCCCTAAGTTTAAAAAATTGGTGAAGATGGGGCTTCCCTGGTGGCGCAGTGGTTGAGAATCTGCCTGCCGATGCAGGGGACACGGGTTCGTGCCCCGGTCCAGGAAGATCCCACGTGCTGCGGAGCGGCTGGGCCCGTGAGCCATGGGCGCTGAGCCTGCGCATCCGGAGCCTGTGCTCCGCAACGGGAGAGGCCACAACAGTGAGAGGCCCGCGTACCGCAAAAAAAAATTGGTGAAGATGGATGGCAGGTATAGCAGGCTTATCATATTATTTTCTCTTCCTCTGTTTGTTTTTAATTTCCATAATGAAAAGTTAAAAGTGTTTCTATTAGTTCAAGTTTGTGTAGTTACTAATACCAACAATGAGAACTTCTTTATCAAGAGAAGAATTCTGATGCTCGACTTTTCTTGATTAATATTTCAAGGAAGTTAATAACACACCATTAAAGTTAGAAACTCAATTACCTGCTCAAGCTTAACACTGGCAAATTTTCTTTCCAATCAGTTTCCTCTGCTTCATAAAAGTTGTTTCAAGAAAGCTGACGGAACTAGAAATTATAACTGAGAGATAAGAAATAACTTCGGAAATTTATTTTATGGTTTAATTTCATATTTAATCTAGACTTTGGCAATTGCATATACATTGCCTAACACACAAAATTTTAGAAAAACTAGCCATATGTATCATACTTAGAGATCTTTCTACTATTTTTCGCTCTCTGTTAAAGTATATTCCCCTTTTATCCAATCCTCTGTTACTTCATTGAGTGGAACATTTTTTATATAATAAATTTGGAAAATCGGGTCAGTGAACAAATAATCATACCTTTGTTCTAACTGACTAACCATTTGGATAAACAATCAGATTGTATCCTTACTTTATACCAAACTTAAGCCTATATGGATTAAATATTTAAATATTAAAAATGAAACCATAAAAGTAATATAAAAGACTGATGAATGTTTATATAAACTACGTTGAGGAATGACTTGCTCATGTGATATTAATTCAGAACCTAAATAAAAAGACTGATAGAACTGAAGACAGAAAGTTACACCACAATATTGCAAAAGACCCCTTTATCCAAGTTTGTGACCAACTGGTAGATATTTAAAATACATGTTATTAAGAGTTAATATTCTTTTTTTTTTTTTTTTGCGGTACGCGGGCCTCTCACTGCTGTGGCCTCTCCCGTTGTGGAGCACAGGCTCCGGACGCGCAGGCTCAGCGGCCATGGCTCACGGGCCCAGCCGCTCCACGGCATGTGGGATCTTCCCGGACCGGGGCACGAACCCGTGTCCCCTGCATCGACAGGTCGCCTCTCAACCACTGTGCCACCAGGGAAGCCCCAAGAGTTAATATTCTTAATTAAGAACATTTACGAATAGGTGAGAAAAAGGTGCTCTTTCTGAGAGAAAATGGACGAAGGACATGAATAACGATGCAGCAATAAAGGAATGGAAATACAAATTACCAGTATATACATGGGAAAAAAGTTCATCCTGACTTGCTGGTAATAAAATAAATGCAGATTAATATGAGGATGAGATGACATTTTCTCATCTGTCACATTGGCAAAGGAAAAGAGTTTGATTGGACAGGTGTGTGGCTTTTGGCCCACTAGCACTGCAAACTGCTGGGACAAGCAGAAGTCGGCACAACCTCTCTAAAAGCAGTTTGTCCGTATTAAGGCCTTTAGCATTTGCATAACCTTTAACATGGGAATTGTCTCTCTAAAAAAAAAAGTGCAGGAACACTAACATAAATGTGTATTGCAGCATTGTTTACAATAGCAAAAAAGCTGTAAGCAAGCTGAAATCGCAGGGATGAGGAATTTATTCAACCCTTTGGTAGGTACATTACAGATGCTAAAGAATGCCTTATTTATTTATCTATTTATCTATCTATTTATTTATTTATTTATTGGCTGTGCGGGGTCTTCGTTGCTGCCCACAGGCTTTCTCTAGTTGCGGTGAGCGGGGGCTACTCTTTGTCGCGGTGCGCGGGCTTCTCATTGCAGTGGCTTCTCTTGTTGCGGAGCATGGCCTCTAGGCACGCGGGCTCGGTAGTTGTGGCTCATGGCTCTAGAGCGCAGGCTCAGTAGTTGTGGCGCATGGGCTTAGTTGCTCTGCGGTATGTAGGATCTTCCCAGACCAGGGCTCAAACCCGTGTCCCCTGAATTGGCAGGCGGACTCTCAACCAGTGCGCCACCAGGGAAGCCCAAGAATGCCTTATTCATGTACCAAGATGGTGATAGCTGTTGTTAAGTGGGAAAAGAAGGGTTCAGAGCAATTTATATTGTGTCATTCCATTTTATTTCTCTCCCATATATATATATACACACACAAACACACACGTATATGCGTATATACATATATAATGTATCTGCATTCTATATAAGAATCGTATAATTTCTGCAACAAACAAAATTTTAAAAGATGTTTCCTATTGTATTTCAAAAGTTTCTGGTAAGAAATTATAGTGTAACATGTAACAATAGGAAAGATCATAAGATCATTCAGGACATTTTAATGCTCCTTCTTCTTGAGGTAGGATGACTGATGGATGAACTGCAGCTCCAGAGGCAGAGCCCAGAGTGATCAAGAAATCTGCATGATATAAGTTCACATCACATTTTAACGTGTCACAAAGAAAAGAAATGTAATACCTTTTTGTATTTGATGGGTGGTACATGGATAGATTTTTTAAGTCCAGGATACACACACACACAAACACACACACACACACACACACAAATGTACGTACATAAACAAGAAAAAATTGCTTGCCAAGGAAGCTTGGGAAAGCTGATGAGGAAAGACTAATGCCTTCATACTGATAAATACTAGCACCCAATAACTAAGGAACTATTAAACTCTGTGATACAACAAGTATCAAGTGATATACATCATGATTGCAGGTTGAAATGATCTATTGGGTTACATAAATCATAGTATTAAAATTAATTTTACCCATTTCTTTTTACCTTTTTAAAAAGACGAGGATACCAGAAAATGTAGTATTAGACATGTGGCATGCCTTGTATTTCTGTTGGACAGTGCTGCTGTATACTGTAGTAAAAATCTATTTATGTCATACCTCTGCTCATAAGCTGTCAGTGTCTTCCTGTTACTTTTAGAAAAAGACAAACATCTTCAATGTTGTCTGTGAGCCCATGAAGAGTCTTAGTGCTGCCTGCCTCACCGTTTCTACTAGTTCCCATTCTTCCCCTTGATATCCGAGGTCCAGCCAATTGGACCTTCTCTCAGGTCCTTCAACATACAATTTTTCTAACTGCAGATTGAGACTTACAGCGTGTCATGGAACAAATTTAGTGAATTGAGACCAATATTAAAAAACATGAAATAGAACCGAACAGAAAATAACAGCACAAGTAAAAGGGTAAATGTTATTTTACGTAAATGCTTTTTATTTTACGTATATGTTTACTGGATTATGTTGTGAAATATATTTCTTACTGGAGTAAAAATGTTTGAGAAGCAATTCTCAAACCCAGGGTTTCTCAGCTTTGGCACTCTTGACATTTTGGTTGTATAATTCTTTACGGTGGTGAGCTGTCATGCTCGTTACAGGATGTATAGCAGCATCTCTGGTCTCTACCCACTAGATACGAGTAGCACAACCTTCCTCTGTTACGCCAACTCAAAATATCTCCAGACTTTGCCATAGGTCCCCCAGTTGAGGACTGTTGCTCCAATCCATTATACTCAATCTCACAACAAAGCTTTTTCACAAACCGTTCTCATTTACTGCAAGGAGCTGCTCACCTCTCCTCTCCTGGTAACTCTTCCTCACCTTTCAGATCTCAGCTCAGTTGCACTCCTCTTGGGAACATCTTTCCTGAGTCCTCTAGGTAAGTCTCATCCTTCTACTGTAAGTTCTCATAAAATCACGTGCTCTATTTTAAGCACTTATCAATTTATAATTTTCCATTTGCCTCTGTGATTATTTGATTAATATATGCCTCTCTCACTAGGCTGTTAGTTGAAGTCAGGCATCATGTCTGATTTTGTCCACAATACAGCATTATGCAAATAGTTATTCAGTGTCTACGGTGCACAGGCTTCAAACTAGATGCTAGGTGTGCATTGGATGGCTGAAAAAGCAAAATCCCTGTCCCTGAGTGGCTGACAGTCTTGCTGGGGAGACCTAAACTATAGAAACAGACCACTGTTTAAGTGCAAATTAATAATGGAAGTGGTGCTAAAGTAAAGATGTGTTTTGAGTTGGCAAGACCAAATTCGGTAGCATTGTCAGGAGAAAGCTGCACTGAGGATGTGAACGTTTGGTAAAATGTGGAGTGTCAGAAGGATACAGCCATATAAAAGCAGGGAAAGAACATTCCAAGAGCAAGTATCGTCTTATTTAAAGCCCTTACGACATGTTCCTAGTAGGTTTTTAAAAGATCATTCTGTTATGAAGAGAATGTAGCAGAGGAAAAGAAAAGAAGGGGAAGTTACTTAAGAAGTCATCCAGTCCAGGTAGGAAACCATTGGTATCTTGGACTAGGGATTGTTGAAGTGGTAATGGAAAGAATATGATGTATAAGTACTTACTAAGTACCTAGTATGTCAGTTGTCAGATTTGACATACTAGGTCCTTAGTAAATATTTGCTGATTTAATATCTAGTCAGTGAATTCATTAAATATTTGCTAACATAATTAGATCAAAGCTTTAAGAAATTAAGACAACTTTGGAGTAAGGTTTGAGTGATTGTCTTTTATTTTTGTCACCATATCTGCCTGTTAAAGTTTTCAAATTCCAGATTGTCTAAGAAAATTTCCCTATATTCTCAGACAAATTAATGTCTGTTTCCACAGCTATTATAGCAAATTTGTTCTAGTTCCATTGTAGCATTTATCACTGTCTACCTTAGATGAGATATTTGTGTTCATCTGCCCAACTATGTTATGGGTGCAGTGAAAGTTGATAATTTTTTTTAATCACTTGAACTCTGATACAATAGGCTATATATAGGAGGCATTAAATAATGTTGGTTGAATGGAATGAATGCTGCAAAAATGGAAAAATTCAGTCTTTTAAAACTTTGATGACTCAGTCAGAAATAATCTCCCAATGGATAGGAAATTATACTTACTTGAAGTTAAAGTTTATTTTGAAAAGGCAGTATTTTAAAACATGTTTCAATCTCAGACATACTAAAGGCAGGTTTCACTAATACAGTTTTTGCTGATGTATTGGAACATGTATTTTCATTTCTCTTTGATGATTATAGCTAGGAGTGGAAATGCTAGGTCATAGGCTAAGGGTATGTTTAACTCTCTTAGAAACTACCTAATCTTTTCCCAAAGATACTTACTATTTTATGCTCTCAGCAGTCATGTATGAAAATTCCTGCTTCTCCATATTTTTATTAACTTTTGCTATGCCAGTCATGTTAATTTTCAGCCATTTTAGTGGGTGTGAAATGGTATCGCAATGAAGTTTCAATCTGAAGTTTCCTGATGACTAATGATGTTGAATACTTCATCATATCCTTATTAGCCATACATTTATCTCCCTTTTTAAAGTGTTTTGAGTCCTTCACTGAGTTAAAAATTTTTCTAGCTTTTTTGAGATATAATTGACATATAACATTGAAGTAAGTTTAAAGTGTACAACATGATTCCATACACTAATATATTGCAAAATGATTACCTCAATAAAGTTGGTTAACACATCTATCACCATCACCTCACATAATTACCAATTTTTGTTGTTATGGTGATGAGAACATTTAAAATCTACTTTCTTAGCAACCTGCAAGCATACAACATAGTACTGTTAACTGTAGTCACTGTACTGTACATTAGATCCCCAGAATTTATTCATCTTTTAACTCCACGTTTGTACCCTTTGACCAACATCTCCCCCTTTCCCCAACCACCAGTCCCTAGAAACAAAAGTCTACTCTCTGTTTCTTTGAGTTCAGCTCTTTAGATTCCACATGTAAGTGAGATCATATAGTATATTTGCCTTTCTGTGTCTGACTTATTTCACTTAGCATAATGCACTCAAGTTCCATCCATGTTGTTGCAAATGACAAGATTTTGTTATTTTTTATGGCTGGATAATATTCATATACATTATATATAGGTAACATATGGATAAGTATATACTATATAAAATACACATGTATTCTATTACATATAGGTATATTGTTACGTGTGTATGTATGTATGTATACATATATATATGCGCACATATATATGCGCATATATATATAAGGAACATTTTCTTCAGCCATTCTTCCCTTGATGGACACAAGTTATTTCCACTTCTTGGCTACTGTGAATAATGCTACAGTGAGTGAGCATGGGAGTGCAGGTATCTCTTTGAGGTAGTGATAACTTGTCCTTCGAATATATACCAGGAAGTTAGATCATATAGTAATTCTATTTTTAATCTTTTTGAGGAAACTCCATACTGTTTTCCACAGTGGTTGTACCAATTTACATTGCCACCGACAGTGCAGAAGAGTTCCCTTTTCTCCAAATTTTCCTCAGCACTTGTTATCTCTTGTCTTTTTGAGAATAGCCATTCTAACAGGTGTGATATCTCACTATGGGTTTGATTACATCTCCCTGATAATTAGTGATGTTGAGTACATTTTCTTGCACTTGTTGGCCTTTGTATGTTCTCTGTGAAAAAGTGTCTACTCAGGTCCTTTGCCTGATTTTTTTTTTTTTTTTTTTTTTTTTTGCGGTACGCGGGCCTCTCACTGTTGTGGCCTCTCCCGTTGCGGAGCACAGGCTGCGGACGCGCAGGCTCAGCGGCCATGGCTCACGGGCCCAGCCGCTCCGCGGCATGTGGGATCTTCCCGGACCGGGGCACGAACCCGTGTCCCCTGCATCGGCAGGCGGACTCTCAACCACTGCGCCACCAGGGAAGCCCACTTTGCCTGATTTTTAATGAGATTATTTTGGGTTTTTGCTCCTGATTTGTATGCACTCCTTATATTTTTGGATATTAACCTCCTACCAGATATATGACTTGCAAATATTTTCTCCCATTCTATAGGTTGCCTTTTCATTTTGTTGATTGTTCCTTTTGCTGTATAGAAGCTTTGAACTCTGATGTAGTCACACTTGATTTTTGCTTTTATTACTTGTGCTTTTGGTATTGTATCTAGAATTTCATTGCCAAGAGGAATGTCAACGAGTTTCCCTTATGGTTTCCTTAGGAGTTTTATGGTTTTAGGCCTTACATTTAGGTACTTAATCCATTTCTAGTTAATTTTTGTGAGTGGTGTAAGATAGAGGTTCAATTTCATTCTTTTGCATGTGGATATTCCTTCATCGAATTTTAAAAAACTGTGTTGCATGTCTTTTTATTTAATTATAGGTATTCTTTTTTTAAATTAATTAATTTATGGCTGTGTGGGGTCTTCGTTTCTGTGCGAGGGCTTTCTCTAGTTGTGGCAGGCGGGGGCCACTCTTCATCGTGGTGCACAGGCCTCTATCACGGCCTCTCGTTGCGGAGCACAGGCTCTCGACGCACAGGCTCAGTAATTGTGGCTCACAGGCCCAGTTGCTCCGCGGCATGCGGGATCTTCCCAGACCAGGGCTCAAACCCGTGTCACCTGCATTAACAGGCAAATTCTCAACCACTGCACCACCAGGGAAGCCCAGTATTCTTTATATATATATATATATACACACACACACACACACACACACACAAACACATCACATCTTCGTTATCCAATCATCCGTCAGTGGACACTTGGGTTGTTTCCAGTTTTTGGCTGTTGTAAATACTGCTGCAGTGAACTCAGGGGTGAGTATATCTTTTTGAGTTAGTGTTTTCATTTTCTTTGGATAAACAGCCAGAAGTGGAATTGCTGGGTCCATATGGTAGATCTATTTTGAATTTTTTGAGGAATCTCCATACTGTTTTCCATAGTGGCTGTACTAATTTAAATTCCCACCAACAGTCCACAAGGGTTCCCTTTTTTCCACATACTCACCAACATTTGTTATCTGGTTTTTCTTTTTTTTTTTTTTTTAATATAAACAGCTATTCTGACAGGTGTGAGGTGATATCTCATTGTGGTTATGATTTGCATCTCCCTGATGGTTAGTAATGTTGAGCATCTTTTCATGTGCCTGTCGGCCATCTGTATGTCTTCTTTGGACAAATGTTTGTTCAAATCCTCTGCCCATTTTTAGTCAGATTGTTTGTTTGTTTGTCATTCAGTTGTGTGAGTTCTTTATATGTTTTGGTTAGTAACCCTTTATCGGACATATCATTTGCAAATATCTTCTACCATTCAGTAGGTTGCATTTTGATTTTCTTGATGATTCCCTTCACTGTGTAGAAAGATTTTTGGTTTGATGTAGCCCATTTGTTTATTTTTGCTGTCGTTTCCATTGCTTCTGGGGTCAGATCCAAATATACATATAGTTAAGACCAAGGTCAGTCAAGAGCTAACTGCTTATGTTTTCTTCCAGGAGTTTTATGGTTTCTGCTGTTACATTCAAGTCTTTCATCCATTTTGAGATAATTTTTTTGTACAGCGTAAGATGGTAGTCCAGTTTTATTCTTTTGCATGTGGTTGTCCAGTTTTCCCCACACTATTTGTTGAAAAACTGTCCTTTCCCCATGTATGTTTTTGTTTCCTTTGGCATAAATTAGTTGACCATATGGCATGGGTTTATTTCTGGGCTCTCTATTCTGTTCCATTGACCTATGTGTCTGTCTTTTTGCCAGTTCCATACTGTTTTGGTTAGTATAGCTTTGTAGTATAATTAGAAATTAGGAAGTGTGATGCCTCCAGCTTTGTTCTTCTTTCTCACAATGGCTTTGGCTATTTGGGACTTTTTGTGTTTCCATACAAATTTCAGGATTCATCTATTTCTGTGAAAAATGCCACTGGAATTTTGATTTAGTATGGACATTTTAACAATATTAATTCTTCCAGTTCATGAACATAGAATATATTCCCATTTATTTGTGTCTTTTTAAATTTCTTTCATTAATATATTTTTGAGTGTATAGGTCCTTCACCTCCTTGGTTAAGTTCATTCCCAGGTATTTTATTCTTTTGATGCAATCAAAGGTATTTTGTAAGGGGATTGTTAATTTCTTTTTCTGATCATTTGTTGTTAGTCTCTAAAAATGCAACTTATTTTTGTATATTGCTTTTGTACCTTGAAACTTTACTGAATTTACTTACTAGTTCTAGCAGGTTTTTTTTTTTTTTTTGAGTCTTTAGGGTTTTCTATATATAAAATGATGTTGTCCTCAAATAGTGACAGTTTTACTTCTTCCTTTCCAATATGGATGCCTTTTATTTCTTTTTCCTGCCTAATTGCTAGCACTTTCAGTACTATGTTGAATAAAAATATGGGTTAAGGTCCACTACTATTATGGTATTGTTGTCAGTTTTTCTCTTTAGGTCTATTAATATTTGCTTTATGTACTTAGGTGCTCCTAGGCTGGGTGCATAAATATTTACAAGTGTCATATATCTTCTTGCTGGATTGACTCCTTTATCATTATGTAATGTCTCTCTATGTCTTTTATACAGTCTTTGTTTTAACGCCTGTTTTGTCTGATAGAAGTATAGCTACATCAACTTCCTTTTGGTTTCCATTTCATGAAACATCTTTTTCCATTCCTTCACATTCGGTCTATGTGTGTCCTTACATCTGAAGTGCGTCTCTTGTAAGCAGCATATATGTGGGTCTTGTTTTTTTTATCCATTCAGCCACTCTGTGTTTTGATTGGAGTATTTAGTCCATTTACATTTAAAGTCACTATTGATAGGCATGTACTTATTGCATTTGTGTTAATTGTTTTCTGGCTATTTTGTAGTTCTTCTCTATTCCTTTCTTCTTCTTGATTTCTTCCCTTCTGGTTTGATGTCTTATAGAGTGTTATGCTTAGATTCCTTTCCCATTATCTTTTGGTTATCTACTATGGGTTTTTGCTTTGTGGTTACCATGAGACTCATATATAACAGCCTATATATATATGACAATCTATTTAAGTTGATAGCAAGATAAGTTTGAATGCATTCTATAAAACTCAACTTATTACTACCCCTCCTGTTGTGTGTTTTTGATGTCTTATTTTATTTTACTTTATTTTATTTTATTTATTTATTGGCTGTGTCATGGGGCATGTGAAAACTTAGTTCCCCAACCAGGGATCAAACCTGTGCCCCCTGCAGTGGAAGCATGGAGTCCTAACCACTGGACTGCCAGGGAATTGCCGATGTGACATTTTAAAGTTTTTAATTTTGTGTATTCCTTATTTAACTATTTTAGTTATAGTTATTTTTACCTCTTTTGTCTTTTAACCTTCATACTAGCTTTATAAGTGATTGATCGATTACCTTTACTATATATTTACCTTTATTAGTGAGATTTATACTTACATGTTTTCTTGTTACTAATTAGTGCCCTTTTCAGCTTAAAGAAGTCCCTTTAACATTTCCTGCAAGACTATTTTAGTGGTGACTAACTCCTTTAGTTTTTGTTTGTCTGGAAAGCTCTTTATCTCTTCTTCAATTCTGAATGATAACCTTGCTGGGTAGAATGTTCTTGGTTTGAGGTTTTTTCCCTTTCACCCTTTAAATATATGGTTCCATTCCCTTCTGGCCTGCAGAGTGGCTGCTGAAAGATCAGCTAGTAGCCTTATAGGAGTTCCTTTGTATGTTATTTGATGCTTTTCCTTTGCTGATTGTAATACTCTCTCTTTATTCTTTTGTCGTTTTGATTACAGTGCATCTTGCTGTATTCCTCTTTGCCTGTATGGGACTCCGTGTGCTTTCTGGACTTGGGAGACTATTTCCTTTCTCAGGTTAGGGAACTTTGCAGCTATTATGTTGTAAATATGTTCTCAGCCCCTTTCTCTCTCTCTTCGCCTTCTGGGACCTCCTATTATATGAATATTACTGTGCTTGATGTTGCCTCAGAGGTTTCTTAAACTGCCCTCATTTCTTTTCATTCCTTTTTCTTTTTTCTGTTCAGTGGCAGGGATTTCTACTACTCTGTCTTCCAGCTCACTGATTCATTTCCTCTGTATCATTCAGTCTACTGCTGATTCCTTCTAGTGTATTTTTCATTTCAGTTATTGTATCCTTCATCTCTCTTTGGTTCTTTATATTTTTTAATGCTTTGTTAAAAACTTCTAACTTTTCACTCTGTGCATCCATTTTTCTCCCAAGTACCTTCATCATCTTTACAATCATTACTCTGAACTCTTTCTCTGGTAGGTAGCCTGTCTACACTTCACTTAGTTCTTCTTCTCGGGTCTTGTCTTGTTCCTTTGTCTGGAACATGTTTCTCTGTTGCCTCATTTTGTTGAAATTGTTACTTGTATTTTTAGGTATGTGGTAGGTTAGTTACATTTCTTGACCTTGCAGAAGTGGCCTTCTCTAGAAGTACTGTGCATCCTGGAAGCACACTACTCTCTCGTCACCCAAGCTATATGCTCTAGGGATTCCTCATAAGAGGGCTGCATGGGTCCTTCTGTTGTGGTGGGCTATGTGGGCTGTCTGGTAAGATTGGCCCATGGTCTGGTTGGTTGCCAGGCAGATGCTATAGGCTGCTGGTTAGTAGGCTCTGGTCACGAGGCAGCTGACTGTAGAACCCCAGGTGGCCCTGGGTCTCGTGCTGGCTCGCTGGTGGGCATAGTCAGTGTCCAGAAGACTCTGGGGCCGTTGCTTTCCCCTGCCTTCCGCAACTGGTGGATGAAGCCAGGTCCTGGGGTTAGTGCCGGACTATTGGCAGGCAGAGCTGGGTCTTGGCATCTGGCTACAGGGCCCAGGGATCCCAGAGCTGGTGTCCAATCGCTGGTGGGCAGGGGGCTGGTTCCTGAAACACTTGGGTATGGAGTCTGGGGTGTCTGGAGGCTTGTGTTGTCCTGCAGCCCAGCTGGTAGGGTCTGGCTTGCTGTGGATAGCCTGGGTCTGCAGGCTGCCGGACTGTGGTTTTCTTGTGTCTGATGTCTGCCCCTTGGTGTGTGAGGCTGGTCTAGAGGCCAGTGCAGGCTTCCTGAAGAGGCTGGCCAAGGCTTGACCTCTGTTGGGTGAAGCTGGGTCTTGGCCCTTTGGTGGGCCGGGCCATGTGTGTAGGCATGTCTAGAGGCAGCTGTGGGATCAGGAAGTCTTTAGGCAGACTGTCTGCTGATGGGTGCATCTGTGTCTCCACTCAGTTGTTTGGCACTGGCACCTACAAGCTATTAGGTGGGGCCAGGTCTTGGCCCTAATGAACTAGAGGAAGGATCCTACAATGGCATCTGCCAGTACTGCCTTCCACAGGGTAGAAAGAGCTCCCAAACGTGGCTGCTGCCAGTGTCCATGTCCCCAGGGTGAGCTGTAGCCACCCTCCACCTCTGCGGGAGACTCTCCAAGACCAGTAGGTAGGTCTGGCTCAGGCACCTATCAAATTACTGCTTTTGCCCTGGGTCCTTGTGCTTATGAGATTTTGTGTGTGCCTTTTAGGACTGAAGTTTATTTCCCGAAGTCCTTTGGGACTCCTGAAATTAAGCCCCACTGACCTTCAAAGCCAAATGCTCTGGGAGCTCATCCTCCCAGTGCTGGACCCCCTGGGCTGGGGCGCCGGATGTGGGGCTCAGAGTCCTCACTCCTGTTGGAGAACCTCTGCAATATAGATATTCTCCAGTTTGTGGGTTGCACCCCCAGGGGTATGGGACTTGATTATATCATGAATTTGCCCCTTTACCCCTCTCATTGTTCCTTCTTTATGTCTTCAGTTGTAAAAGATCTTCTCTGGTAGGTTTTTGTCTTTTCCATAGATAGTTGTTTTGCAGATAGTTGTGATTTTGGTGTGCTCGTGAAACGAGGTGAGCTCAGGGTCTTTCTACTCCATCATCATGGCCGATCTCCAGGTTTGCTTTAATTTTTTTTCCAACAGTGTTGTATAGTTTTCATTGCAGAAGTCTTAAACATGCACTGTTAAATTTATGACTAAGCATTTTTAATGCTATTGTTCATAAAATGTTTATTTTGAAAAATTATCTCTAGGATCTATATCGATGTCCCTTTTATCACTGATATTGATAATTTGTGTTCTCATTCTTTATCTCTTTCCTAATCATTCTATCTAGTGGTTAATCAACTATACTTGTTGATTTGTCTTCTATTTTAAATTTCATTTATCTCTGCAAGTTCTTTGTTATTTCCATTCATTTATGTACTTTTGGCTTAATTTTGAAAAGTTCGATTTAAAATTTTTTCCTCCCATCCCTCCCCCATTAGATGAGAAGCTGTTTGAGGACAGGGACAATATCTCATGCCTGACATGTAAAACCTCAACCAATATTTTAAAAATCAATTGTGGAAAGCACAAATGAAAAGGTTCTAGTTCTCTGGCATTTCACGTGCTTAACGTTTGTATTCGCTATCTACTGCTGAATAATAAATTACCCCACAGGTTCTTTCTGATGAGGAATGGGAAGAAATATAAGAAAATGATTTAAATAAAAATCCATTCTAAAATGATGGAGTACACAATGCAAAAAGGAACATATATATGGACCAGCCAGAGTGGGTCAAATTCAAGTCTCTAGATTTTGGGCAAATAACATTCTCTGAGCTTCAGTTTCCTCACCAGAAAGTATAATAACACTACCATTGAAAGGTTTGTAGCATTAAATGAAAGAACATGTGAAATACCTGTAACCATGCCTAGCATACATTAGGGGCTCGATGAATGCCATTTCTAAGAGTCTCAGTGTCCATATCTGTTAAAGAAAACAAGAAATGCTGTCAGAGTAGGGTTGTTGAATGTGTAGAAATAGATAAATAACATGCATAGCACAGGGCACAGTCTATTTCAGGTCTACCCAGAATATTAACTCTTCTAAATATCCATGGAACCTATAAATCATGTTATGGTTATAGGAGGCAGAAAAAAATCTATATGCATGTTTTTGTGGTTCTGATTTTTGTTTTTAAAAATTAAAATCTACAGCTTGCTTCTCCAACTGAAGATTTAGTTATTTTTTGCAAAAAGCCTAGCTGTGAGTCAGTGCAATATTAAAGAGAGATGGCAAAGGAAGCCAAGATATGGGACCCATGAAGCACACTTTGGACCTCTATATTCAACGAAGGAGGGTGAAAGCTGGTAACTGGAGATCAGGAATTTCGAGTTCTCTCTTTATACCTCAGTGACCACCAAATGGGAGAATCACATAGTTTCAGTCTCTTAGAAATCTTATATATTACATAAAAAAAATGGTTTCCTAACGTAATTAATGCTTATAGAAAAATCACATTTCTGTTACAACATGAAGGGTTAGTGTCCATTGTGATTTTCCTAGAATTTGATGAATACTCAGCACCATGAATATTACTAAAGATATTGGAGAGACACACCCTCACACTTTTCATTTCTGCTCACATATTATTGACCAAAAAAGTCATGTCTGTGGATAACTTCAACTGAGAAGAAAAGTGCAGTCCTTCTGTGAGCAGCAGTACTATCTATGACAAATTTAAAAAGTCTATTTTGGATAGAAGAGAAAATGTACAGGTATTAATCCCATGGTTCCCTCATTCTTTTTACTTAACAGGTCAAGAAAGGACTTTGAGCTTCAGAATACAGGCTGCAAACTATCTGATATAAATTCATTCAAACCCATATTTTCTTAACTATATGCCACCGTTGCTAAGTGTTTTATACACATTTACTCATTTATTCCTCAAGATAATCTGAAGAGGTAAGTATTTTTATCCTTACTTATAGGTGAGGAAGTTAAGATACAGAAAACTGTATCTTAACTGTTATATTGAACTGTATATTAAACTGTTGGCCCAATGGCACACAACTGGGATTCACACCGAGGCAGCCTGACTCCAGAATCCACACTCTAAACCAGCGTACACAGTGTCTCATAGACATGTAATACTGAGGCAGAGTTTCAGACAGGGTGGCCGTCAAAAACCAGGGAGATCAGCTCGGGGCTTTGTGACCACCTAGAGGGGTGGGATAGGGAGGGTGGGAGGGAGGGAGATGCAAGAGGGAAGAGATGCTGCACGTTAGGAAAGAGTATACTATGCGTTTCATATTTTTTTTGCTATGTTTCTACATATGGCCCTAACATAAAAGCAATTTCTGTGCTCAGTGTTTAACCTTTGTCCAAGAAGGTATGAGCAAAAAACTCAAACATGTATTGTTTTCCTCTTTTGAAGAAAATGTTAACTTTGCATGGTTACATGGGACAAAAGTACAAAGCGTTTCTGTGTTTAGTTTCCTCCTTTGTCCTATACTACCCCCTTCTATGTTTTGATATTTGGCACCTTCATGCTAATAGCAAATAAGAATTAATTTATAAAGAAGACAAAACTGGAAATCATAAGTAATTTCTATCTTCTGAACATAATTTAACTTCCTCAGTTCTGCTTTTTCAGGAGCCCAATTCTACATCAGGTGCCATATTCTACTTGACTGATTTGATCATCTATAATAGGGGCTGGTGAACAATAGCTTGCAAGTCAACTCTGGCCTGCTGCCTATTTTATTTTTATTGGAGTACAGTTGCTTTACAATGTTGTGTTAGGTTACACCGTACAGCAAAGTGAATCAGCTATACCTATACATATATCCCCTCGTTTTTGTATTTCCTTCTCATTTAGGTCACCACAGAGCACTGAGTAGGGTTCCCTGTGCTATACAGTAGGTTCTCATTAGTAATCTATTTTATGCATAGTATCAATAGCATATGTATATATGTCAATCCGAATCTACCAATTCATTCCCCCCCACCCTGGCTTTCCCTCTTGGTATCCATATGTTTGTTCTCTACGTCTGTGTCTCTATTTCTGCTTTGTAAATAAGACTGTCTATACCAGTTCTTTTTAGATTCCACATATATGTGTTAAAATACGGTATTTGTTTTTCTCTTTCTGGCTTACTTCACTCTGTATGACAATCTCTAGGTTCATCCACGTTACTGCAAATGGAATTATTGCATTCTTTTTTATGGCTGAGTAATATTCCATTGTATATATGTGCCACATCTTCTTTATCCACTCATCTGTTGATGGACACTTAGGTTGCTTCCATGTCCTGGCTATTGTAAACAGAGCTGCAATGAACATTTCGGTACATGACTCTTTTTGAATTATGGTTTTCTCAGGGTATATGCCCAGTAGTGGGATTGCTGGGTCATATGGTAGTTCTATTTTTAGTTTTTTAAGGACACTCCATACTGTTCTCCATAGTGGCTGTATCCATTTACATTCCCACCAACAGTGCAAGAGGGTTCCCTTTTCTCCACACCCTCTCAAGCATTTGTTGTTTGTAGATTTTTTGATGATGCCCAGTAAAAGTCATCCTGTTTAACTCTGAGGATGAAAGGGGGTGGATATTGTAGACATTCTTAACAGTTGTAAGCCATGCTTAATTAAGACAAAATATTGATTTGCAAAGGCAGACAGAGTGGATGCCTAATGTTATCTTATTATTATTTTGCTCTGAGTTCAACACACCAGCTGGCTTGAACTGTGGGTGACATACACAATGAAAACATAATACAATTACATAAAAGACTTGAGAATTTACTTATCTGGCTTCCTATTCCCTTTTATATTGCCCAAATTACAACCCTGCCATCACCTCTGCAAAATAAATCAAGCAACAATTCGTGTTGATATAATGAATATCTTATTTCTTTCAGATAAGACCAATGCTGTATCTTCTACAAATATAAGGGTAACCTAATGAACCAAGTAACTAAAAATGGTATGTCCTTTTAACTAATTAGATGCTCATAAAGAGAAGTAAATTCAGTATTTAAAGTTTATATACTCTTTTAGCCATTTGACTTACCTGATCAGTTTCCATTCAAGGCAACATATCAAAAATGGAATTTTTTTTCCATTTTTTTATTATGAACAATTTCAAACATGCAGAAAAATTGAACAAAAATGAATATCCACCATCATGATTGAGCAATAGGTAATACTCATATTTGCATTTGCCTGCTTTGTCTCTAGTATTTTAAAATCGAGGAGAGTACCCTAGCTTTTAATTTATTGATATATTTAATTACATTGACTCAAAAAGGCCAAGTCTGTTTTCTCATAAATTTTGAAGGTATGTGATTGTTTTCTTTTGATGTTCTCACCTTTTCTTTCTCTCCTCTATTTCAAGAAAACTGGAAGGTTGGTCTAGACTCACAGCGAACATTTCGGAAAAGTGATGCTGTGTGCTTTGTTCTGCATCATATCAAGAGGCACACAGTGCCAGGTTGTCCCAATATTAGTGATGCTAAGTTTGCTCACCCAGTTGATTTGATCCCCAGCCGACCTCTCTTTTATAGGGTTATGCTTTCCTTTGGTAATATGCATTTATCTTCTGTTCCAGCAACATTTTATCTAATAGTTTTAGCCTTTATAAAAGAACTTTGCCTGAATTACTGATTTCATACAGAGGTCAGAACTATGATTTTTCTAACACTGTTATTCTTTTTGTGTTCATTAACTGATGCTCTTTCGTGAAAAAGTGTTTTTCCTCCTAAAAATTGCTTACCACCTTCCCTTTAATAACCACCTGTCAGGGTAAGCAGTTGGTGTAATAGTAAGATGACTATATATATTCCAGTTTATCCAGGACAGTCATGGTTATGTCACTTAACATAACTATTGCTGTGCTCCCATTTATATAATGTAACATATTAAACAAAAAATTATAAGAACATTCCATGTATTAGTCCCTTGACTTTCTCTCTCAAAATCTCTCTGTCATTTGGAGAATCCTAAGTGTTAATTTATAGTGTTTCTCAAGGTATTATGCATTTTGATACCCAAATCTTTTATATGCAAACACTTCCAATTATCCCTTTTGATACTCAAACCTCCACACTCAAGTCCCAAAATTGACTAGGCTTCTGTGTCCTTTTGACATAACTCCAGTTTTGATTAAATCTTTGCTTTATGATATAATAAGGTATTACAGCATTACCTTGCATTTTCTATGCTCCAGATCTGAAGTTAACAATTTCCTCAAAGATCTCTGATTTCTTTCAGTGGGAACTGATCAGGAGTATTCATTTTTACTGAGGTGTTAACTGCTCTCAGAGTATTTCAGTGGATAAATCTAGGGTATATATAAATAAACTTAATATTTTTCATTTCTAATTCAAATTTAACATTATAGTGCTTTTAATTCCTTTGACTTGTAAATTCATATTATTTGTTTTACTCTGAAATCCTTGGTTTCTAATTAGCACATTTACTTTATTCTATGACATGCATAAAATGGTTAGAAAATAAAATTCCAATATGTTTACCAATAATAAAACTCTAAGTATGGTTTAAAATTGTTTGACTTCTCTTTTCCTTTACGGATATGACCTTAGGCTGTGCAGTCAGAGCACTGGGTCAAAAGTAATTTAAACATTTGTTTGGCAGAAAATACCACAAGTAGAGACAAATAATGAAGATGAAAAACAATGCTTACAATTTTTATCACAAGCAAATGGTTAATATCCCAGAACTACTAGATATATAAAAAACATTGAAAGCATGGTAGAGATATTAACCTAAATAATAAATGAAAATAAATCTTAAGCCTATTTTCCTATGTTAAATTGATCATAATAAGTTAAATGTAAATTAAAACTCTATTTAGGTATAAATTTTGACTTACCTACACTGGCAAAAATCCAAAACTTTGACAACATAATCTGTTGGCAAGGCTGCAGGGATAGAGATAGTCACATATGTTGCTGGTGACAATGCAAAATAGTATAATTCTTCTTGGAGAGGAATAGGAAATACCAAAAGTCTCTATATATTTATAACTAACTAACATCACACAGATAATCCCAAATCTTCCAACTCAAGACTCTTACTCACCTCTGCAAATCCCTTTTGTCATGTGAGGTTCTGGGAAGTCACATGTTCTGGAGATTATGATTTGTACACCTTGCAGGGGGGATCATTTTCTTTCTACCACACAAGGTCATAAAACAAGTAGATTAATAATAAATTTGATGGAATTGAAGTCATACAGAATGTATTCTATGATTATAATAGAAGTAAGCAAAAAAATTAATGAGTGAATTTGGAAATTCCTCAAATACTTAAAAAATAATGAACATACTTCTAAACTGTCCTTAGGTCAAAGAAGAAATCACAAGGAAAATTGGAAAATATTTGGGACAACAACAAAATTTCAAAATTTGTGGGTTATAGCTTTAAAGCACAATTTACAGAGAAATTAATAGAACCCTAAAAGATACTAATGTGGAAGAGTACATAGTTGTTTAAGCTTCCATCATAAGAAGCTATAAAAAGAGCAAATAAAACCTAGAGCGAGTTAAAGCAAGTAAATAATAATGCAAGTAAATAAAGCAATAGAGGTAAACAAAATTCAAAGCTGATTTTTTGGAAAGGTCAGTAAAACTGATAAACTTCTAGTAGATGGATCAAGGAAAAAAAGGAGAATACCCAAATTATCAATATCAAGAATGAAAAAAGAAATGTCATTATTGATCTGTCATTAAAAGAATAATAAGGGAATATAATGAACATTTTATTCCAGTAAGTTTGAGAACTTACTTAAATGAATTGAATAAATTCTTTGAAGGGCATAAATTACAACTCAGAGAAAGAGACAGCTGTATACTTTCATACTTATTAAAGAAGTTGAATTTATTTCTTAAGAGTGCTCCTAAAAGAAAACTCTAGGCTCATATGGTTTCAGAGTAGAATTCTATTGAATTTTTAAGGAAGAAATAATAATAATCATAAATTCTTTTAGAAAATAGAGTATGCAACACTTTCCAATGCACTCTGAGTCCAGCATTAGCCTGATACCATATCCAAACAAAAACACTGCAAGAAAACAAACCCAGAGAACAATATCCCTCATAAAACTGGATTCAAAACATCCTTAACCAAATACTAAAAACCAAATCAAGTAATACAAAAAACAGATAACACATAATGATCAAGTGGTATTATGCCTGGATTGCAAGGTTGCTTTAACATTCTAAACTCAATCAGTGTAATTCTCCATGTAATGGAGAAAAGCATATGATCATCACAATAGATATATTAAAACATTTTACAGAATGCATCATCCATTAATTCTAAAAGCTCTCAGCTAAATGTAAATACAAGGGTAACAGAAATGTTCAGCTGACATCATATTTGCTGAGAAAGATTAGTTTCCTGCTCTAAGACTGGGAATAAAGTAAGAATGTCTACTCACTCTTAAGGTATTCTCCATTGTGTTGTAGCCTGTGCAATAAAGAAAAAGAAACACACACATATATATAGGGAATAAAGACATAAAACTTTTTTTTGGATATCATCATGATGTACATAGAAATTACTAAGGACACTACCAAAAAAACCCCCCAAAACAAAAAACAAACCCATTAGATAACTACTAAGCGAATATAACAGCATCCCATGATGCAAGAGCAGTACACCAAAATCAAGTCTGTTTCTAGATACTGGCAATGAAAAATTACATCATCAAAAAATACGAAGTGCTTGGAGATAATTCTAACCATATGTTTAACACCTGTACCATGAAAACTATCAAAGACGGCTGGATGAAGTTAAAGAAGACATAAATAATTTGGGAGCTACACAGTGTTAATGAATTTAAAGAGCGAATGTTATTAAGGTATTGATTCTCTCTAAATTTATTTACAGACTTAACCCCAATTAAAATCCCACTGGACATTCTAAAAGTAATGGTCAAACTCATTCTACAGGTTATGTGGAAATACAAAAAATATGGAATATGGAAATGTAAAAAAGAATGTATTTGGAGGACTTATACTCCCAGATTTCAACTTACTCCCAATCTACAGCAATCAAGGTAGTAAGATAGTGGCATAAAAATACACATTTAGCTCAATGGAACAATTAAAAGTTCAGAAATGGATATATGATTATATGGTCAACTAACTGTTGACTAATTACCAAGATAATTCAATGGGGAAAATTGGTCTTCTCAATAAATGGTGCTGGAATAACCAGATATCTGTACAGAAAAAGGAGCTTTGGCATTTTCCTTACACCACACACAAAATTTGATTCAAAATGGATCATAGAACTTAAAAAAGTTAACATTCTAAAGCAGAAAACATATGAGAAAATCTTTGTGACCTTGGGAAAGGCAAATTTGCATTGATAGGACAAAAAATATGAATAATGAAAGAAATATATTCTGCAATTGAAGCTTACCAAAATTAAACTTTCACTTGTCAGAGGATACCATTAAGAAAATTAAATGGATGGGCTTCCCTGGAGGCACAGTGGTTGAGAGTCCGCCTGCCGATGCAGGGGACACGGATTCGTGCCCCAGTCCAGGAAGATCCCACATGCCACGGAGTGGCTGGGCCCATGAGCCATGGCTGCTGAGCCTGCGCATCCAGAGCCTGTGCTCCGCAACGGGAGAGGCCACAGCAGTGAGAGGCCTGCGTACTGCAAAAAAAAAAAAAGAAAATTAAATGGCAATTAATTAAATGGGGAGAAAATATTTGAAAAAATATATATTAGAAAGGACTTGGACTCAGCGTGTACAAAGAAATCTTACGACTCAATAATAAGAAGACAACCAAATAAACAATGTGCAAGTGCTCTGTAACTGAACAAGTCCAGAAAAAGTTGTTTAACTTCATTGGTCACTAAGGAAATGCAAATTAAAACCACAATGATATACTACTACATACCCACCAGAAAACTAAAGTTAAAAACAAGTGCTGCCAAAGATGTGGAACAACTGGAACACTCATAAGGCACATGTGGGAGCACAGAGTGACACAGGAGAGTGGCAGTGAGTCAGAAAGGGAATCAGCCTAGATTCCTGAGGCACCACGTGGGACAAAGCCACAGCCAATCTAGAGTTGTCCAGCAAGGAAAATGAGAAATAAACCTCTGTTGCTAATATCCCATGAGACTTTGAGACTGCTACACAAAATAACCTTACAAAAGCTGGTGAATAGTTATATTTTGACTTGTATTTAGTGTTTCATTTCTTCCTCTTTTTTCTATGCAAAGATTTTGTTGTTGAATTTACTGAATCATAATTGGAAAGGCTCAATACTCTGTAATGAAGTATATGGGAAAAGAATCTAAAAAAGAGTGGATATATGTATGTGTATAACTGATTCACTTTGCTGTACACCTGAAACACAACGTTGTACATCAACTATACTCCGATAAAAATTTTAAAAAAGAAAATTTAAAAATAAAATAATTACATTGGATAGTATCTTTAAAACAAGAGTATATAATAATACAAATTATAGGCAAACTTACCTTATTCCTATCTAAGTAAGAATTTATCCAGTGTTTCTCTTGTTAAGGATAAGTCTTGTAAGGACAAATTCACTTACTCTTATTTCAGAAAGTTTTTTTTAAGTTAGAAATTGATGTTGAATTTTCAAATGTCTCTTAAACATCTAGGGAGATGTATGATATTGTTTCCTTAAATCTATTGATACACTGAATGACCCTAATGCCTTTTTAAATGTTGACCCATTCTTGTATTACTGTAATAAACCCAACTTGGTCAGGATTATTATATTTTAATGTGCTGTTTTATCTTAGGTTTTTGCATTGATATTTATGAATTAAATTATCTTTAGTTTTAATTGTTTCAGTTTCCAGCTTTATAGTTTCAATGTCATACTCACTTCATAAAAATAATTTGAATATTTTCCTTCTTTCAGTGTCCTCTGTGATGTTATTGTTATTTGTTATTTGCTTGTCTCCTTGATTTGTATGTTTAGTGGGAGAATATGTATGGAGAAACCAGAATTTGCTAATGGCCATTATATAATGGAAACTTGGAATTTTTGTCATTATAAAACCAGTGCATGCTTATTGAAGAAATCTTACAAAGTAAAAATGAGCACGAAGAAAAATACAATAATGTAATAATGTTAATAAAAGCAAGTCTTTTACCACTTTGAATAATCTTTTCACCAAATGATTAAAAAATATAATAGTTGGGGGAGTGGCCAAGATGGAGGAGTAGAAAAACCCTGAGCGCACCTCCTCTCATGAGCACACCAAAGTTACAACTATCTTCAGAACAAACATTGATGAAACAAAACCTTGAACCTACCAGTGTGGAACCTTTTCTGGTAGGTTCCAAAGATCTCCTACAACTAAAGACATAAAGAAAGAACCACACTGAGTATGAGGGGTGGACTAGTGATATAATCAAATCTCATACCCCCAGGACAGGCAAACCTGAAAATGCAGAATAATTATATGGCAGGGGTTCTCCCACAGGAGTAAGAGTCCTGAGCTCCACAACAGGCTGCAGCTTGGGGTTCTGGTGCTGGGAATATGAGCCCCCAGAACATGGCTTTGAAGGCCAGCGGGGCTTAATTGCAGGAGCCCCACAGGACTGGGGGAAATAAAGACTTTGCTCTTAAAATGGCACACACAAAATCCCATGCATACCAGGACCCCGGGCAAAAGCAGTAATTTGACAGGAGCCTGAGCCAGACCTACCTGCTGGTCTTGGAGAGTCTCCCGGAGAAGTGGGGCAAGGCTGCGATTCACCTTGGGGACAGAAACACTGGGGGCAGACATACTAAGGAACATTCAACTGTGTGAGCACTCCTGGCAGCTGCCATATTGGCTAATTAGTGCCCAAACCTGGCCCCACCCAACAGCCTGTAGGATCCAGTGCTGGGATGCCTCAGGCCAAACAACTAACTGGTCAGGGACAAAGCTGCACCCAGCAGGAGACAGGCTCCATAAAGACCAAAGAGCCCACAGCTGCCTCTGGACATGCCTCTAAACACAGCCCAGCTCACCAGAGGGCCAAGACCCAGCTCCACCCACCAGTTGGTAGGTACCAGCCCCTCCCATGAGGAAGCCTGAACAAGCCTCTGGATCAACCTCACCCACCAGGGCCAGACACCAGAAGCAAGAAAACTATGATCCCACAGGGCAGTCCAGACCCTACCCTGGGACAAGCTGGGCCCAGACCCTGGCACTACCCACTGGCAGGCAAACATAACATTTGGGACACCCCAGACCCCATACCCAACTGTGTCAGGAACTGCCCCCCACCCAATGATATGAAACAAGGTCTGGAATCCCTGGGCCCTGCAGCCAAACTTTAGGGACCAGCTCTGCCTGTGAGTCGTCTGGCACTAACCCCAGGATCTGGCTTCACCTGCTAGTGGGTGGGCAACAGCCCCAGAGTTTTGGGGACGCTGACTCTGCCCACCAGTGAGCCAGAACTAGACCAGGGGCACCCTGGGGTTCTACAGTCAGCTGCCTCATGACCAGGCCTCGCTAACCAGCAACCTGTAGCAGTGCACAAGGCAGGGTCTGGCAACCAAGCAGACTAGGGGTCAGCTAAGCCTATCAGACCACCCACAGAGTCCATCACAACAGAAGGACCCATGCAGCCCTCTTAGGAGGAATCGCTAGAGCATACAGCTTGGGTGATGAGAGGGGAGTGCACTGCCAGGATGCATAAGGTCCCTCCTACAGAGGGCCGTTTCTCCAAGGTCAAGAAATGTAAACAACCTACCACATACGTAGTAATACAAATAGCATCTTAGACACAATGAGGCAGCAGAGGAACATGGTCCCGACAAAGGAACAAGATAAAACCTGAGGAGAACTAAATGAAGTAGAGACGAGTAACCCACTGGAGAAAAAGTTCAGAGAAATGATCATAAAGGTGATGAAAGAACTGGGGAGAAGAGTGGATGCATAGAGGGAAAAGACAGACGTTTTAAACAAAGAGTTAGAAAATATGAAGAACAACCAAATGGAGCTGAAGAATACAATAACTGAAATGAAAAATATACTAGAGGGAATCAATAGTAGAGTAAATGATAGAGATGAATGGATCAGTGGCCTGGAAGACAGAGTAGAAAAAATTGCTGCTGAACAGGAAAAAAAAATGAAAAGGAATAAGGACAGTTTAAGAGACCGCTGTATTCTCGTTATATGGGTCCCAGAAGAAGAAGAGAAAGACAAAGGGCCTGAGAAAATATTTGAAGAGATAATAGCTGACAACCTCCCTAACCTGGGAAAGGAAAGGGTGACTCAAGTCCAGAAAGCACAGAGTCCCACACAGGATTAACCCAAAGAGGAACACACTAAGACACAGTGTAATCAAAATGACAAAAATTAAGAATAAAGAGCAAATATTAAAAGCAGCAGGGGAAAATCAACAAATAACATACAAGGGAACTCCTATAAGGCTACCAGCTGATTTTTCAGGAGAAACTCTGCAAGCCAGAAGGGAGAGGCACAATATATTTAAAGTGATGAAAGGGGAAAACGTACAACCAAGAATACTCTACCCAACAAGGCTCTCCTTCAGAAATCAAAAGCTTTACAGACAAGCAAAAGCTAGAAGAATTCACCACCACCAAACCAGATTTAAAACAAATGTTAAAGTAACTTCTCTAGGCAAAAAAGAAAAGCCCACAATTAGAAACAAAATTATGCAGTGGAAATGCTCACTGGTAAAGGAAAACATACAGCAAATGTATGAAATCATCCACACACAAAGCTAGTAGGTAGGTTAAAAGACAAAAGTAGTAAAATCATCTGTATCCACAATGAGCAGTTAAGGGATATGCAAGATAATTAGTTACAAAATATGATTTAAAAAACAGTAATTGTGAAGGGAGGAGAGAACAAATGCAGGGTATTTAAATTGCATTTGAAATTAAGAGATCAGCAACTTAAAACAACCATGTATATATATAGAGACTGCTACACAAAAACCTCATGGTAACAGCACACCAAAAATCTATAATAGATATACACACAAAAAAATGAAATGGAATCCAAACATAACACTAAATATAGTTATAAAATCACAAGAGGAGGGAACAAAAGAAGAAAGGGGTAAAAGACCTTCAAAAACAAATGCAAAACAATTAAGAAAATGGCAATAAGAACATACAGATCAATAGTTACCTTAAATGTAAACAGAATACAAGCTACAATCAAAAGACACAGGCTGGCTGAATGGATACAAAAATAAGACTGGTATATATGCTGCCTAGAAGAGACTCTCTACAGATCTAGAGACACACACAGACTGAAAGTGAGTGGATAGAAAAAGGTATTCCACAAAAATGGAAAGCATAAGCTGGAGTAGCAATACTTATACCAGAAAAAAACATACTTTAAAATAAAGACTGTTACAAGAGACAAAGAGAAACACTACATAATGATCACGGGATCAATCCAAGAAGAAGATATAACAATTATAAATACATATGCACCCAACATAGGAGCACCTCAATATATAAGGCAAATATTAACAAACATAAAAGGAGAAGTTGACAATAACACAGTAACAATAGGGGACTGTAACACCCCACTTACATCGATGAACATATTATTTAGACAGAAAACCAATAAGGAAACATAGGCCTTCAATAACACATTAGACCAAATGGACTTAACTGATATTTACAGAGCAT